CTTCTGCCCCAAGCAGGTGGACGAAGTGCAAATCAAAACCGTGGCCTGAACCACCCAATTCTGGATTGGTAAAACTGGCAAATCCCCCTTAATTCTCCAGTCTTTTGTACTGGCCTTCCAATTAATACGAGTTGTTATCCCAGATGCAACAACGGTCACGACAGTAGCAGGTGCAACAGTGACGACAGTCTCCTCGGCAACGGCTACGGTCAGCTCATCGGCCTCTACGGCCTCAAGTGAGTTAGGCGAAACTACTAACTTCACCTATTTGCGCATGAAATTCCTTTACAGCATCATGCGTCGACAAACTAAATCCGAGCACGGGAGTTTCGGACTGTCCGGCTCGCGCCAGTCTATGCAATGATGCCACTTATTATTCCGTAATGACCGAGCAATGTCCGCTAACATGTGGAAGATGTTCCGGCTCCTCAACGAACACTACAAGTAAGCGCTCCTGTTTTTCTCGTCTTTTTGAAAATCGTATTTATAATTGATAGTGGAGTCGTGGTTAGATAGGAATAGACGTTTAATCAGCAAAACAATTCATTGTTAGCTGTCTCGTACAACTGTCAGCGATTACATGGGCGGGGTCAGGCCTACGTCTGAGTCTTCCTGACATTGTATTACAGGCAGTAGGCGTGTTGCAAGGCCTGGTCCAACGTCATCGGCTAACGGGCATCGAGGCACAACTCCTAGCCCCCTAAGAGCTGACCAACACTCCTCTAGTAATACTGACACACCAGGCCTAGGCCAACGCCCCAACTTTCGACCACCGGGAATATTAACTGATCTTGCTAATGAGTTATTCTTCTTTTCTTATAAACTATAATAAAAAATTAATCCATATTCAATAATTACTGAATATCATTTTGATAACTGGCATCTGGAAAGAGGGCTTGGTGCTTCACTAGAGCACTTAGAATTAGCGTGCGTGACAAGCGTCAAACCCTCCCGACTGCGATATCGGACTGTCAGCCTTGTGCATATCTTGCAACAAGCCCTTATACGGACCCTCGCCATGACCGCCAGTGTCCCAGGAAACCGCCCAAGTAAATGCTCGAGCACGAACACAACCCGAGTAACAATATCCGTGATTCTTTGTTAACCCGGGGCGAGGCACGGAGATGCTTCAGCGTTCGTTTGAACTACTAAAACTGCGTGCCTTCAAAGTGAGAGGGATTTCCGACTACACAATTTCAGTGATAGTTATATACTATATCTCTAAATATTAAGCTACCAACTCGACAACGTGTGTTGATCTGACGAATCCATCTACCGGAGTGTCTGACTGCCCACAGCGCGTCGCTTTGTGCACTGACAGCAACTACATTACCCTAATGAGGGTAAGTTACTGTTGCGCTTACGGGGTGGTTCACATCTACACTGGAGCTATCCTAGCGTCGAGTTCACCTTTCGTAATCCGTGAAAGGGTGCACGAACAACTTTTTTTAGAGACAATGCCCAAGAACATGTGGTTTCTGTACTTCCGCCAGCACTGCTTCTGGAACAGCAGCTACTTCGCTGACTAGCAGTGCCACCTCATCCTCTACTAGTAAGTGATTGACTTCAGAAAAATAGATGAACTTCTCACGGGGTTTCTGTTTAGCCTGCGTAGACGCCATCAATCCTCGCACTGGAACGTCTGACTGTCCTCAGCGTGCCTCGCTCTGCACTGACAGCAACTATAGGACCTTGATGGCGACGCAGTGCCCACTAACCTGCGGTCTATGCTAGGTCTAGATGTCCGTTTTGCTTGTACAATTGTGGTTGTCGTTCGAAAATTAAATATTGCCTCTTTTGTTTGAATTTTTCTGGCGATCCATCCGAGATCGACTTTCTTTGAGCCTTGGTAGCCTATCACATCTTCCTTAGCAAGAACAGAAGCCCGAGCTAAGATTTCATTACGCTACAGAAGAAACTTAATCATAGCTATACTCAAGATACAGTGCAGTTCTCAGCGGACGGTGGGGCGGTCCTAAGACCACGCTGGCAAGCGGCCCGATGGTTGCCTTTTGGTGGAAAAACCCCA